GGAATCTCATTCTACAGGTTATGTTCCTTTAAATTAATCCTTTGTTTCCTTTCTATTCCTACATTTCTCCACACTTAGCTTTAAAAACTGAAAATATGTCACCTAGAAATTTCATTAATGAGGTGTTTATCCCCAAATTATTAATGGCAATCATTAGAAAATCAGGGCTGTGCTTGTGCTGGACACAAGTTGTGAATAATTGATTTGGTTTATTCCTTACCTGTTCAGGTGGACACTGAGTACTGGGAAGTGGGGAAAAAGAGTTGAGTATGTGTGCATAGTGGTGTGAATACACCTGGAATATTGCTATTAATTGATATCAGAGAGCTTATCTCCTAACAGGATAATGGAAGAGATAGGAAGGGACATGTTGAGATCATATAATCTGCTGTCCCTTGCTTGAGCAGAGTCCGTACGAACAGAGATTGTAGAAACTCTCTAATTTACAGACAGACTGTAGAGTGTCTAGTCAGGTTTGGAATCTCTCCACAGATGGAAGCTCCTCAGCCTCTCTGGAAATTTTACTTTAGGGTTTGGTCCCCTTGCAGGTCTTGCATTGAATTTTGTGTCTTAATTTGTGGTCATCTTGTCCTGTCACTGAGCACTCCTAAGAGGGGAGCAGCTCCCTGTTCTTCAGTGCCTTTTATCAGGTATTTATACAGATAATAAGAACCCCCTGAGCCTCCTCTTCTTGAGGACAGTCACAGCCCTCTCAGCCTCTTAAGAGGCTCCCTTCCCCTACTGCTGTTCATCAATGTCTTGTACTGGGGAGCCCAGAACCGGACATGGCATTCCAGTTGTGCTGGATTCACTGGTGTTGAGCAGGGGGGAAGGAGGCAGCACTCAAAACTGCCAGACACATTCTTTCTAGTGCAACCCTGGGTGCTCTAGGCCTTCTTTGCTTTGAGGTTGCATTGCTGGCTTCTGATCAACTTGTTGTCCCCCAGGACTCCAGGCTCTCCACTGGAGAGCTGCTTCCCAGCTTCTCAACCCTTGGTATGTCCTGGTGCACAAGGTCATTCCTCCCCAGGTGCTGGACTCTGCATTCCACCTTGTTGAACTTCCTCAGACGTCCTCTCTGTCTGATTTTTCATCCAGTCCAGGTCTTTATGAGGGGCAGCTCTGCCATCTGCTGTGTCAACTACTTGAGTTTATCTAAAAACTTGCTGAGGGAACACTCTGTTCCACAGTCCAGGTCATTAATGAAGAGGTTAAACAGCATTGGCCCAGTAGGCGAGGTCTGTAACCCTTGGGTGCATCTCAGCATGTCTATGTCCATCATCCTTTTGTTCCCCTTCCACCTTCTTGAAGTCTTCCCCCCCTTCAGACATGTCAGGGCTTGTTTGGCAGTCTGATAAAGTGGGGGACAACAAAACAGCCTTTTACTGTTTATATTTATGCTTGAATTATTTATTCCATTAGCTCTTACTAAAGAATGTTCTGTCCGTTTGACGTCTGTGTTCAGCGAATCACAGAGCGGCAGCATTTGTTAAATGTAAACAAAATCGCAACTCCCTGCCATAAAATGTACCAGCATTGGAGACACGCACACATGTGTGCTGATTACCCAGCATGGCAAGAGAGCTATCCCCATAGGGCTTCCACAGGAAAGAGATTTCATGTGTTCATTAGAAATGACATGGGTTTGTATTTTTCACAAATTAGGAAGAACATGGTAGCTGAAGAAATTATAAAATCATAGAAATGTTGCTTGACAGGAATCTCTTCAAGTCATACCAAATGGTGCTGCTGCTAGTGCTAACTCAGGTCAACCATGACTGCCTGTAGCAAAGCACTGAAAACCTCTGTGACTGGAGATTTTGACACCTTTTGGTAACTTCTTCCAGTGCTGTACTAATTTCTCAGTGAAAGTTTTTCCTAAACTGCAACCTGAAGTACCCGTGCTGCCCTTCAAATAAATAAAGAGAAGTTTTAGCTGTCCTTGACAAACCAAGCAAACTTTTACAGAACACATAATTTATTGAGGACTCCAGAGTGATCAGGGTAGAGCATCCAGGCCAAAGCTTAAGGCTTCTGGGTGCATATGTACACATTTCAAAAACACAGACTGATAAAAGTACCAGGATTTAACGCTCCTCAGGATAGCTCTCCCTCTGCTTGCCTCACAGAAGATCACAGTCTCTGATGCCTCACTTGAGTTTGTCAGGACTGTCCCAGGAGTACTGCTTGGGGGAATGACTCTAGGAAGATAATAAAGGCTTTCTCTGGCACATGGATTAAGGAAACTCAGCATTTGCACAAATTCCAGTTCTGAACCTTCTATTATACACAGGCTTGTCAGTACAGCTGTGACAGAACTAAACTGAAAGAAGATATCAAAATTATTCCCTTGTCTTCCATCAATGCTCAGTTCACAGGAATGTTGTAGGCGAGTTTAAGTCTGCCACATTGCTATGGCAGTAGCACTAAGTAGGTTTTGTTTGAGTATGTTCACCTATTTCCATACGGTAATTTTCTAGTGTATGGCTGAAGAATTTACCATGTTTGGTGTCCTTGCAGTACTTTAGATCGTATTTAGAAGATGATCTTGCTTTGCAAGAGACTTCTGAGATTGTCAGCTGTTAAATCCCAGTTTTGATTAATCCTGTGGATTATCTAGACAGTGCAGGAAAATGTATCTAATCTTACCTGAAAATCTCCTTTAAGCACCAGCACTTTCGAGAGGTGGTTTAACCACCCGAATCCAGAGTTGGCAATTGTCATCCAAAAGCTTAATTTGCAGAAAGTCTATCTCTGTTCTGGAGTGTGTTTTGAAGTGGTGGAAACCATATAGTTCTCATCCCTGCCTCCTTCCAGAACAGTTATTCTGATCTGTAATACATTAAGATTCCATAAATGAAGGAGAGGGGAATATACTCAAAACCCGCCCCCCAAAACACACAAAAACCCCCAAACCCCAGGATCAGAGTGAGAAGACTTTGCTGCCTCATAAGGGCCACTGTCTTCCTTATCTAATCTGCACACTGACTGGTCTGAGATTCAGTTAGAGAAATGGTGGAAAATCTCTCCCTCTTGAAAAGAAGACCTGATACAGGTCACCTTTATTTTGTAGAACTTACCAAACAGAAGGATAATATTACTGGAAGCTTTTCCAAAGTGTTGCAGACCCCAACAAAGGGGAGGGTTTTAAGAGCCACCTGGACACTGAAAAACCTTTCTGTGCTAGGCTTTGGTGGTACATTCAGCTTGTCCTCATGGCTTCTTCATGCTTGTCCTTTTGGTGCAGGTCATCTTCCTGTTGACTTTTTGTTTCGACAGAAGTCTGTCAAAATCTAATTCAGAGTGTCTTTTTGTCACTGCAGTTGTTCTGAAATCAGTTCCCCACTCAGAAACTTTTTTTTTGCAGTCATGCTGTCAGTATTTCCTTGTAGCAAACCTCCTGTGCTTTTTGCCATTTTATGGGGCCATATATAAGCTGTAGCATGTATTTTTCTTTGTATCGTTTTTGCTTCAGGCAAGATCTCCTGTTTTAACACAGCACAGAGGAAGGTGGGGAGCTTTCTGTTCACTGTAACTCGGCCACAGATGGCCATGGGCATGTTATTTGAGGTGGAGTATAAACTGAGACACTTCTTGTTGTCCCTCATGGTTGTCTCTCATTTGGTTCCTAAATGTCTCTGTTCTTTTCCAAGTGTGTTAAGAGCTCTCCTGGTGTTTAAGCAGCACTAGAAGGTCTGATGTCAAGAACAAACTCCTTCTCTCACATACAACTATTTGTGCAGCTTTCCCACCATGTATTCTTTGCATGGGATGGAATAACTGCAAAAGTCAACCAGAATATGGCCTCATCCCTTTTCCTCTTGGTAGTGCCTTCTTTATCCGTTTCCTTTTTCTGATGCTGTTCAGTGATTTCAAGGGCAAGTCTATCAATATTATTCAATTAATAAACACTACCAGAATGGCATTTCCTACCCCTTCTTTGCCCCAGCTTGTTCCCACTTGGTAGTTTTGCTGGATTCTGCACATATTATCTTACTCTGAGAAGCAAAAAATGTAATTTTTTGTGTACATGCTAAGAAACCACAAATGCTATTACCAATATCAAAAATTATCCAGCTCTTACTGGCAATTGTGGGCACAATGCTTGATTCTTGTAATCACCTGTGGCATAATTAATCAATTTACTTCTCAGTTGTGTGAAGCAAAATGTACTACAAATGCTGGCTAATATTCCCCTTGTTCCTATTATTGGAAAGTACTGAGAGACAGGCTGTTGGGTTTTCTGACTGACCTCTGGAGTTGTGAACATTTCATTCACATCCTGCCTAATAATTCCTCCCAGGCTAGATAATCCTGTGCACAATCTCCTTCTGTACAATGTCAGTCTTGGCATACATCTGACCATCTGTGTTGTCCTTTCCTGGGACTTGTAAACTCTTCCTGTATCTTTTTTATGGTTAAGGCAGCTAAACCTGAGTATGGCACTCTATTGTGAAAGTTTGTATTGTTGTATTAGTTCACATAATGCTCAAAAATGAGGAATAAAATAAATGAGCTCCTACCCTGTTCTGGTGATAGCACTTGTCAGGGAAAGGCTTGTTTTGAGGTTTCTTTCTCTCCAATTTTATCTGGAGTTCTAATTTTCCTCAAAGCATTTGGGACTATTAATGTTTCGTAGAATGCTTTATGTTTTCTGGACACAGTGATGAAGACAGACATTGAGGTAGTGAAGAGAATTCAAGGTGTGGGAGAACCTGTGAGGAACGTTGGTGTTCCTTTTGCTTTTAAGCTCAAAATACGTGTACCATAGCTTGGATAAATTGCCCCATAAATAAAAGTGACTGACTTTATGATAGTGTTCTGCAGTGACATAAACAGCAGGGGAAGGAGAGATTTGATAGTTGCCTAGAGGATGATGATTTCTAATCATGAGAAGGAAACGAGCCAACATTTCTTGAGAAGAAAAATCCAGTGAAATTTATTACTCTGTTGAACCAGTTCTCTGGGGAAGGAATGTCAGTGCCATCACTCTCACCCAATTAAATACCAAGCAGCATATATTATTTAATTATATGGTGAAAAAGGAATTAATAAGATGACTTGATATATTCTTGCTGCTTTCACACTCCAGGATTCAGTTGTTCCTAATAGAAAGAGGTGGATCCTGTGAGAAGAAATAGTTGTCAGACCATTTTTGCAGTGTTCCCGTTGTATAAAAAATGAGACTGGTATAGAATAAAGTGTCAGTGAAAGGTATTTTATTGCTAGAATCCTAGCTAGCTTTGGTTGGTATGGTTGTATGCAATTAAGTCCCATGTCAGTGGAATTATTTGGGATTTTTTAAAGAAGCACGGGTGAAAAAAGCATTTGTCATGGGACCTAAAGTTTAAAGCATAAATTTTAGCTTCAGCAGTACTGCTGTGCAGTAGAATGGCAGAGAAGAAAACAGAGAAGAAAGCACTAAAATCGAGGAGCTGTAGCAAGAAGAAATATGAAATTTGTCTTAAACTTTTAGTGCTATTTGGTATGGGATGCCACCTTGTGGAAGTTTTTAGGTTGTCACGTCTTTTATCAAATCTCTTTCTGACTTTTTACTCTTCAGGCACTAGAGAGCCCCAATTGCATAGATCAGCCTTTAACAGCCACTCCATCACCTGATGTTTTATGTAATCTCAACCTTCACTGTTACTCTACCTTCCCTCATTTAAGCAATTAGGTGCTTATAACTTTTTCTAAGTAAACCTAAACATGAACCTTCTGGACTAATCTCCTACCTGCCTTTCTCTTCTAGACCAAATCTCTTTCAGGGATTGTGCTGCAGGATTTTTTCAAGTGGTAAAGAGATGCTGGCTAGGGCTTCTTTCTTCTATCTCTCTTGCTATGATCTCATAATTGATGTTGGGTTCTGAGGTATCATTCTTTATGGACTGAGTTTTGTATTAATCATATGTACTCCTTTTCATCCTCTACTTGTCCTTCCTCTGCAAGTCTTTTCCTCTTCTTGCTCTTGCCACCACCTTGTTTATACACAATGATCTGTTGCCTTTGGCCTAGTGATTCCAGAATTCATTGCACTCTTTCAAAACACTTGAGCTAAGGCAGTGATTTCTGAACTTAATAGACTGTGGAAGTCCAAGGAACACATTTGTGAATGACCTTTAATGTGTGAATTCAGGATCTGATGGAAAGTTACACTGAACAATTTTGGGTTTTGGTAGAAATTTCTTTGGAAACATTTACAGTCTCATCCATGGGGTTTAATGAAGTCATTGATTAAAGTGCCATCAGCTAATGGCAGTGGCAGCTCTGGCAGCTTAGAAATGCCGTTTAATACCTTAAATGAATGTTGTGTGTTGAGAGCTGTTCCTGACCTCCTGAACCATTAAGCTCTCAGCCCCTGCCTGCAGTTCTCATCTAATGGTGGAAACAGCTGAACCACGGGGTGGATTTCTGAGTGAGCTTGAGGCACCAAAACTGCACAACTCAAGGACAGAGTAGATGAAATTTAAAGCAGGAGCAATAGGGTGGCTGATTCCATGAGCTGCAGACAGTTGAAACCTGTGGCCATGTCCACTGGGTCATGCAGCAGAATATGATCAGGAGGCTTCTGTTTTGCATCCTCCCACAGCTCTTTACTACTCCAAGTTCACACTGACCTTGCTGACTTAGCATGAGAGGCAATGAGAAATCTGTTCAAGCTTATTAAGTAGAGAGGACAAATTTGAGGGAAGAGATGGAAGTCCTCTCCTGCAACATGCATGTGTGTGTGTTTTGTACCAGTCTTTTCACAGGGATAGGTTCTGACTTTTTCCCACTACACACACTCCTCTTGCAGCTGTATCCAGCTCTGTCATAGATGCACATTTATCCATACCTGGTGATGCAAAGCTCCCCAGCCACTCTGCAGAGTTATTGTGTATTGAGTTTTGGAAGAGGTGCTTCCCAGTCTCCTTACAAAATTCTGAATGTTTCCTCTGTGTTACCCCATGCATTTGTTACTCTGCTTCCCTTGGGAATGCCTGGGAACATCTTGCATAAGGCTTGAGCTTCCTGTAGATAATGTATCTAGAAATCTGATTTTGGCGACATTTTGTGATCACTTGCTATCAACACTAAAGCTATGAGAACTCGTAGAAAAAACCCAGCCTTGCTACTGTGACTGGGCATTTTATGACAAATATTTACTGAAATTATGCTTCTGTTTATAAATATCTTCAGGACTTCCTTGCCTCCCATAGGATGAGGCAATATGGACCTGAATACTCTGAGATGTTGCAGATGACTGCACAAATAAGTGCAATGGAGCATTCTTTCAAATAATATTTTTTATTTTCACAGAGAAAAATTGCATTGGGTTGCTGTTGGGACATCAATGGGTAGCCCTGGTTTCATGTGCTATGTCTCTCAGAAGAGAATTCTGCCATCCAGTGGCTTTTAAATAGAATTAAAAGTACAGGTGACATGACGAAGTCTAAGTAAGAACATTTCATTTCACTTTGTTTCAGAATCAAGTCACTGAGAGCATTACTTCAGAACACTTACCCGAGAACTTGCTTGTGAAATTCTTTCTTTTCAGAGTTTCGGGGGAAGGAGACAGTGACATTTCTGTTAACTGTGAAACCTTTCTTTTGTTTGTCTCTTTGTAGTTATGTGGCTGTGGTCTGCTGGGCGTGGGCATCTGGCTGTCAGTGTCACAAGGGAACTTCGCCACATTTTCTCCCAGCTTTCCATCGCTTTCAGCTGCCAACCTAGTCATTGCCATTGGCACAGTGATCATGGTGACCGGCTTCCTGGGCTGCCTCGGTGCTATCAAGGAAAACAAGTGCCTCCTGTTGAGCGTAAGACATCAATATTCCTTTTCACTAAGAACCGCGGCTATTGCCTTGTTGTTATTTTATTTGAATGACCTGTGCAAAATAGTTTTGTCGCCCACTGTGACATTTCCCTTGGCTTTCAGTCCTCTGTAGGCTTGCAGTATGACATCCCACAGCTTTGGTCACAAGTGTATCAATGGTGTATTAGCAAATGTGTCCTTGTTACTATGTGCCCTAATGTGTTAGGTAGCAAAGCAAATTGGTATCAGCTACTTATGAATGGTTAATCACGAACTGTAGGATCAACCTGGATAGCCCTTCTGGAAATGCCTTTTGGAAGGATTGATGAAAAAAATTTTAGACACAGAGCTGCTCAAAGCCTCTCATGGCTATTTTCTACATTGTCCTTATCTAAGGCCTTTGTCAGAGGATGGTGAAACTATCTGAGCCAAAGTTAAGAAGTCAAGGTCTCTGCCAGACCTTCTCAATAAAATAATAGTCTGACCCCTGAAATTCTCTGACCAGCACTGAAGAGGTTGGGAACCCATCTGAGAAAACACAGTGTTGATCTTCTTGCATAAACCCAGGAGGTTTCATCATTAACTTCCATGACTAATGAAGGGAGGTTATATGGGGGAATGTATATCTCTCCCCCTCCAGTATAAATATCCCCCTCCAAAAAAATGCTGGGGAGAGGAGAACCCCCCTACAAGGAGAGAGGTATTGTGGCAGGCAGTAGGTGGGAGGAGGGCTTTCCAATTCAGTCACAGCTTACAAATCCAGATGCTGTGACATTAAGGAGCATATTTTCCTTGTGAAAAACTCTCACTTTTATGATGGTGGGGAATAGCTGGGCAGAATTCTTTAAACCACCTCAGAGAATTAAGCTGGACGCAAAATGTGCCCCTACTTTTTTGCTATCTGATTGCTTGGTTTTGTGTATTGTACAGCTAGGAAAGCAAAGTGAATAGTATTGAAGTCCATGTGATCCATCCACACTAACTGCCACATTTGCTTAATTTTTTTAAAAAGATTTTATATTCTTGCGAGGTCCTGCAAAAGTAATTTTATACTATCATGACTGTCATGTGTTTCCAGTTGAAGAGTGCTCCGTGCTGCTTCTTCCCCAGTGTCTGGGGGTCAGGTGCCATGCCTGTCAGGAGTCTGCTAGGGCATAAAGGCATGAAAATAAATGCCTACTGGGCCTGAAATTAGTGAGAAACAACTAGAACTCACACTTGGGATGCCTCTGCAGGGAGAGAGAGAGATTTCAGATATAGAGCTGGGAATAGAAGTGCTGAGTAATATGATGAGTATTCCACAGTCACATGTGGTTCAAGCCCATCTGCTAGGGAATAATTTCTGAGGCATGTCACATTCATCTTCGCGCTGAGGCATTTGGCATCTGTCCTGTAGTCTGTGTGAAGGAAAGAGGCTCCCAGGACTGTTTGCTGTGACAGCAGCTAAAAGGAGCAAGACAAAAGCATGGCTGAAACCTGCAAACTGGTAGTAATCGTCTTCACAATTTCTAGCAGCTCCAGGTTTACTTTCTAGTTGGCAAGTGTGTATACACTGTCTCTTTTTTCTTTGTTCTAGTTTTTCATCGTTTTGCTGATAATTCTCCTGGCAGAGCTGATATTAGTCATTTTATTCTTTGTTTATATGGATAAGGTAAGCAAATATGCCATGTAGATTAATTATCTTTACTAGCATGTAAACCAGGCTTAGCTTTTTGTTTGATAAATGTATGTGGGTTCTCCTGGACCTCCACTTAGGTGAAGGTTTAACCTTGAGATTTTGACTGTCTTTGTAAGCTGCTTCTGAAGATGCAGGAGGAAGTGATGAGGAGAGCAAGCAGGAGACAAATCCCTGAAATAAAACCATGGTCCAGAGCCTCCCTTTTTGTCTTGTCCTGAAATCTTAGATAGCCTTCAACATGTTTGATGCCTGCAAGAAGCCAATCATCTTGTAGTCATGGGTTGGGGAAGGTCCTGCTTAAAACCTTGTAGCTTCTTAGGGCCAGCCCTTGGAACAGGACTGGAGGAGAGAGGCATGAGATATTCACAGGTTATTCCAAATGCCACCAGTTGTCTCACTTGACTGGGCAGTCCCAGAGAGTTTGGCATGAGTGCAGAATGGATCAAGAGGTAGTTTCTCATAAAGCCCATCTGTAGGAATCTGCTATCTCATAGCAACTAAGTGAAGTAGGCACAACTGGCTGGCCCATCAGATACATAACAATGCAAAAGTGACTGGGGAACTCTGCTAAACACAGGGCAGAACCTTACAGTATGAATATGCCAGACTTATTCTAAAACAGCTTCTTCCAGACCTTTATCTCTTCTCACGTTGTCATTTTGATGCCTGCTACTTCCAGGGAGCTGTGGTGAACTGCTGATTTTGATTGGGTTATAAAAGAGGGATAAAACAGATCTTAAGAAATCATTGACCTTTATGCCACAACCATAATCCTTTCTCTTCTACCAGCTCACTACTGGCAGAGGCAAGGTACATTCCTACCTGCATCCAGCACTCTGGGCTCAGACTGAAGTTAATACAAGAAATGGGACATCTTAGATATCCTGTTAAGCATTCCAACTTTGTCTTCTAAAGAAAAAAGAACACATTTGGAAGTCATAAATCCTACAAGCTTGCTCCCACAAGGAGAAAACCAATAATGTCTTTTTTCAACTGATTTTGTACTGGTTATTCACTATGGCCTGCCTGAACCCATGCAAGGATAACTCTGCTAAGGTTGGGAAGCTGGGACTCTGGTTTTATGATATTAGCAAAGTAAAGCAGGCCACAGGTTAAGGCAGGAGAGGTTGCTGTGGGGTATTGCCAACAGCTGCCTCTGGCAAGGTTACAGCAAGCTCAGCAGATAGATGCTCTTCATGTTCAGTTAGTTTGAATCAGATGATGACTGTATGATGGACTTGTAGCAGAGGTCTCCTATCTCAAGAGAATTAACCCACTGTTCTACAGTCTGAGGGAGAGACTAGGCCTTGGCAGCTGTTCAAAAGTCCCAATGATTTGTGAGAGTCCTGAAGCTTTTTATCAATGTTAAGTTTGTGATGAGAGAAGGTAAAAGATGGACATTCTATATGCGTGTCTGTACCATTTGGTCCTTTCCTCTGAACAGCAGTGCATTGACTTCCTCTGTCTTCTACATGATGCAGGTCAGTGAGAGTGCAAAGAAGGATTTGAAGGAAGGTATGAAGCTATACAATTCAGAAAATAATATTGGACTGAAAAATGCATGGAATATCATTCAAGCAGAGGTAACATATTTTCTCAATAGTAAAAAAGTAACTATTTGGTCATCGAGGCTGCTGCAGTGGCATCCATGCCTAATCTAAAAGACGGCTAATGCAGGTTTTGATTTCTGATTTTGCTCTCTTGAACATCCAGGGAATACTGTGAAACCCAGGAGTACTGTGAAACTCAGGATCAAAGTGTACTCTGTAAGGTGAAAAATGCTCACCTCTCTGGAATTCTCTGTGGCTATCACAGGCATAGAGATGATCTGTAAGAGCAGAGAGGCAGCAAAACCTGCATAGGTGGTGCAGTTCTGGCAGGATTTTGCTTTTAGCAGTTGTGGGCTTATTTACCTTGTTTTGGTGTTTGGGCTCATGTCTCTGTGACAAGATTTGGGTCTGGAGCCATTTATTTTCTTTGGTTTTGTTTTTTCTTTGTGTTTTTCAGTATTTGCTTTAGGTGATCAGCAACCACAGAATACCTTAAAACTACAGAAGTGTTGTGGTGGCCTTTTTGAAAATACAGAGTGGTTTAGTGGAAATAAAAGTTTGTGGTGGTGTGTGATTTACAAATTGTGCTAGTTAATTTATTAATCTTTTACTTCTGCACAGATGAAATGCTGTGGTGTAAATGACTATACGGATTGGTACCCAGTGCTGGGAGAAAACATTGTTCCAGACCGATGTTGTATGGAAAATTCCCAAGACTGTGGACGGAACTCTACTGAATCACTGTGGAAAACGGTAAGGCTCACTTTGCCGAGGTCTAGCCTTAGGTAAGGGTGGGAAGGAACAAAATAGTGGGAATGCACATGAAAAATAATGTGAACTTGGGGTTTCAATTTTCATCTTTCATAATTTCAGGGATGTTATGAGAAAGTTATGAGCTGGTTTGATGACAATAAGCATGTCCTCGGTTCGATTGGGATGTGTGTCCTCATAATGCAGGTAACACTGGTCTGATGTTTTTCAATATGGCTTTTGATTTGCTGTCAGCATTCTTGAGTCTGCTGTGTGAAAAGTGATGCTCAGCTGCTTTGAGTTGGAATATTATTTCAAAAATGTCAGATTTGTTTCGTGAGTTCATTTATGGCCACGTGCTCAGAAAGGAAGCAGGTCAGTAATCAGTCCTGCAAAGAAAACATGCTATACTGGGGTGTTCCTTGCCCGTGTTTTGACTTCAGGGTACCTCTTTGGAGTTCCCATATTAAGCCATCTGTTACACTATCCTTTCAGGAACTGGCTGATTTTTCATTTTGAAAGCAAGTTCTAGAAATTACCAAAACTAGTCAAATCATGGCCACTGAACTGGGGAGGTCAATGTGTTTTAAAAAAACAAGTTCAGAAGTATCATAATAATCTATTAAGGTTTTGGGGTTCTTGCTCTGGGGAAGTGGTCATGGCACCAAGCTTGCCAGAGTTCAAGCATTTGGACATTGCTCTCAGGCACACAGTGTGATTTTTGTTATCCTGTGCAGGGCCAGGAGTTGGACTCAATGATTCATGTGGGTCCCTTCAGAATATCCTGATTCTATCACTGCCGTACTTTTGGGGGAGAATATCTCAATCTGATATTCAGATTGTTTCAGTCACAATTACCTGACTAAACAAGCACAGGTTGTTGGGTCAAAGGGAAGAGTGACTTGTATGTACTGATTCCAAAAAATTGTTGCACATATAACAAAGAACCCTGAGAGCTTTTTTGCCTCCCTCTGTGCTCTGATACAACCCTGCACATCACTATGTGCCTGAACAACATACAGTCAGATTTACTGCTCAATGTTGAAGCAAATGGCTAGTGTAGAATGTAATGTAGAATGATTGTTCAAACTACAGCTGGGCCATGAACACAGGTTAGTAGTGCAATTTTGGCAACCTTCCTGTACTAAAGCCCTTATTGTTTGTTTTCCTTCAGATTCTTGGCATGGCCTTCTCCATGACACTATTCCAGCAGATTCACAGGACTGGCAAAAAATATGATGCCTAATGCCTCAGAAACATTATCACATCAACCCATCTGTCTCATCATAAAATGAACACAAAGAATGACTGCAAGGAGCATCACGCCTAGCCCTGCTGAGGAAATCCGTCCCATTGACAGATCCACTTCGTTGTTACTTGTCCAGTTATTATCACAACTTATTTGACTCTTCTTTTTCTTCTGTTTCACATTTGCCATTTATTTGCCAAAGAGGGGGGAAACTCCCCAAACAAATGGATTTTCTACATGAAATCATAGATCTGCTCTAAGAATGTTTCTTAACTTAAGAAAATGTTTTGCTCTACTAATCCATGCTATATGTGCAAAAATTATGTGCGTTTGACTTCAAGGGAGAATTCTTCCAAGTCTTCCATTAGGTTTTCAACCCTTATGTCTGATTTACTGGAAGACTCAGAAAAGCCACTCTTAACTGAGAGTCCTAGGAATTGGAGCTGCTTTGCTTTGCAGCTTCTTGTACCTTATGGTGTATACTTTTTTATTATGATAATGATGATTATTATTATGATGGATATAGCTTAGAATTTAGTTGCCTGACTTATAACTTCTTACTGTTTTTGGTTTTACACATCTATTGTACATTAATTTGGGAACCGCTGTGCGATCTCCAGAGGACGTGTTTTGCAAAGTTGACGGTAGGTGCAGGCAAAGACATAACTTTTCTCAAGTCCATGGGGAGGCAGCACCTACCTTTATCAGGGCCTTGATGCCCTTACTGTAACAAAGGTATTTCCTTTAAAATCAGAGACTCTTTCCTCAGATGGAATGCAAAACCTTCCCATTGGACCAGATGATGAGCTTCCTACTTCTGTGAGGCAAAGTTCCAATGCCTTTACTCACCCAAAGCAGTGCCTGGCTGCTTTATGTCATGCTACTTTGAAAGCTAAAAGCACTGACTAAGCAAGTTACTGCCAGCACAAAGGAGAGAGATTGCAGTCTGACCTACTGGCAGCAGACCTTCACTGACTGTGTTGTCTGCTTCAAGAAGTTTGCCCAAGGCATGGCAAGCTGCTGGATGTGAAGGAAGGGGATGGCAATTTGATGGCACCATTATCATGCCATGGCCTTTGTTGTAGGGATTTCCTCAGGCTAAAGACAGCTGTCTTCCTGAGCTAGAGAAGACAGTTTGATTATGTGTGACCAGATGATGCAGGAAAGGGGCAATTTCCAGAACAACATTCAGAGATGATTTTTATTGGCACACCTTCAGTAGAGAATTGTTTTTGCTGACAGCTTGCCAAGTTCATCCACTGGGGTAGTTTACTCAATACATATTTTTACCAACATTCCTGTTAGAAAACTTGAACGTGTATTTCTCCACTTTGAATGCTTCTTCATTGCAAGGGGCCCCCACTTACCCATTATTACAGGTTTTTGCTGTTTTTTGAAGGAAGAAGGAAGGCTCAGACCATGGAGGATGCTCTGATTAAACTTCAATCAGGGCTTGACTCAGCCCTAGAAGTAACACTGCTTTTTGCATTGACGGCTGTCAGAAGTGACCTTCAAAGGTTACCTCATCCAGTGTCACTCTCAAAGAGGTATTGACACATAGGTGAGATGGGGTTCACTATGACATTATTGGGCTGAGTCTCAGAAGCTGTTGAGGATGGAGTTTTTGTGCCTTTCAGAGCCATGCCATCACAAACTACTCCTCTGGTAAACAAGATTCTATTACTGTCCAGTCTGAATATTCATACTAAGCACTACAAAGATGTAATTTTCATTGTATCATTCAGCCTATCTTTTTCCTTGTGGGCTGAAGTAGCTGTTGAGCCACTTCGTATCTGGGAGGTTTTAGTCCCTTATTTGTCTTCCTAATAAGTCCTGCATGCATCTGTACATCTGGCAGCAATAGTGTTTTGTGTGGCCTACGTGTCACTTTTTTGAGTTCCTATGAAATTCAGTGTGACAGAAAGGAGTGTGAATGTGTGGGATAGAGATGAATTTAGGGGTTGCAGTGAAGAAGAAGGTTACTATTCTTAGACACAGCCCTTGCCCATATGAGCACAATGCCCAAATTTCACAGGGCTCTGGTTTCCCACTGGAGCAGACAAGGCCATATGGGTTCAGCTATTTCATTTGGATAGCCTTTGAAGGAGTCAGGGAAGAAGCAGAGGGAAAGCACAGAAACTGAATCCAGTTTTACTTCCATTTCTAACAAAAATTGGGACCAGGAGCATCTGAGCCTCACTAGAGATGGCTGTTCCATGCTGAAGAAGGGGCTCTGATGCCCAGTGTATCTGCTGCTACATGTAAGACTGTATCCAAAGTTGCTAAGATGTGTTCCCATTTTTGCAAGAAAAGACAGGATGGTTTTTGTCTGATGGCTCCACTGCATTCTCCCTTT